GTTTCTTTTTTCTAAATATATTTTTATTGATTTCAGAGAGGAAGGAAGAGGGAGATAGAAACATCAGTGATGACAGAGAATCATTGGTCCGCTGCCTCCTACACACCCCCTATTGGGGATTGAGCCAGCAACCCAGGCATGTGCCCTTGACTGGAATCTTACCTGCCCCTTATCAGTCTATAGTCCGACGCTCTATTCATTGAGCAAAACTGGCTAGGGCCATGTTATTTCAAAGAGTAAGAGTTCTTTCTTTTTAATAGCTGCATAGTATTCCATATGTAATGTACCATAGCTTTTTAAAAAATATATTTTTATTGATTTCAGAGAGGGAAGAAGAGAGCATGCACAGAGAGAGATAGAGAAACATTAATGATGAGAGAGAATCATTGATCAGCTGTTTCCTGCATGCCCCACACTGGGGATTGAGCCCACAACCTGGGCATGTGCCTTGACTGGAAATCGAGACATGGCCTCCTGGTTCATAGGTCAACCCTCAACCACTGAGCCATACTGGCCAGGCTGCACCACAGCTTTTTTATTGAGTCATCTACTGTTGACTGGAACTTGGGCTGTTTGCAAATCTTAACTTTTTATAAAAGCACAGTCGGTCCTTCCACCTTCATGTCATCACAAGATGGCTGCCACAAGATGGCCGGCAGGGGAGGGTAGTTGTGGGCAATCAGGTCGGCAGGGATGGGCAGTTGGGGGTGAACAGGCCAGCAGGGGATGGCAGTTAGGGCCAATTGGGCTGGCAGGGGAGGACAGTTAGGCATCAATCAGGCCAGCAAGGGAGCGGTTAGGGGGCTATCAGGCTGGCAGGCAGAAGCTGTTAGGGGCAATCAGGCAGGCAGGCAGGCAGGTGAGTGGTTAGGAGCCAGCAGTCCTGGATTATGAGAGGGATGTCCAACCGCAGGGTTTGGGCCTAAACCGGCAGTTGGACATCCCCCAAGTGGTCCCTGATTGGAGAGGATGCAGGCTGGGCTGAGTCCCTTCTCCCCCTGTGCATGAATTTCGTGCACTGTGCCACTAATTGTTATATAATCATTCACCTCAGTTATCTTTATGATTGCATAATTTACATATAAATATTTTATATAACAAATGTATTTGGCATTGTGATTGGAGGTCAATATCTTTTAGGTGATTAGTCATTTTGCCTTCATTTATTGAGAAATTTGGATATCCCAATGATTTGATATTGCTATCTTTATCATGTATCAAATGCATATACCAGGTATAAAGATTTAGAGTTGGCCTACATAGTAATTGTTAGTTTCATTCACCCATCTCTAATTTTAGTTATTTGTAATTTGGTTAAGTCAGCTTTCAGTGTTTATGTTGTTTTAACTATTTAAATGTTTATTGACACTTGAGCTATTAGTATACTTGGATTCCTTTTCTGCGTAACTTTTTGCTGTCCCAAGGGTAATAATTATTTTTGATTTTTGGTTTACTGTGTGTGTATACACACACACACACACACACACACACACACACATTTGGGCTTCTTTTGTACTTTTTCCCTCTGTTGTATTGGTATGTATGTTTGGTTTTCTGTAGTTGTAATAAGAGCTTTAATACTTACTGAAAAAGTGATTTTAAAGTGAAGTATATTTTCCTCTTATTTAATTTTCATTTTACTTATGTTATATGTGCACATAGTTTAAAGAGTAGAGTAGTACTATAGGCTTGTTAAAAGGAACAGGAATTCTAAACCCCCTTTTCTTTATCTCCAGAGGCAGTATATTTCAGTTCTTTTCACTGACTTTTGAGTTTTTACCTCTCTATTGATTTCCCCCCTAGTTTTAATTATTATCTGTTGACTTTCCACAGGGCAATGAGGATTTTGTTCTGGGTGAGCCAGTGTGGTGAAGAGCAAAGTTCAGAGCTTCTGTTATTACTATTTGTGTGACCTTTGGCAACTTATTTACCCTCTCCATGCCATGGTTTCCTCATATATAAGGACAGTGTCAGTATTTATCTGAGGATTAGACAAATTAACATATGTAAAAGATTTAGTTTCACTCACCCATCTCTTATTTTAAGTATTTGTAACTTGGTTAAGACAGTTTTCAGTGTTTATATTGTTTTATCTATCCATCCATCTCCCCACCTGAGGATATTTTTCCATTAATTTTTAAGGAGAGTGGAAGGGAGAGGGAAAGACAGAGAGAAACACATTGATTGGTTGCTTCTTGCACGAGCCCTGACCAGGAGGAGCCTGCAACCAAGGTGCATGCCCTTGACTGGAATGGAACTCGGGGGACCTTCAGTCCGCAGGCTAATGATCTGTCCACTGAGCCAAACCAGCCATAGCTGTTTTAACTACTTAAATTTTTAAAAACAATTGAGCCTTTAGAGTACTTGGATTCATTTTCTTCTATGCACAGTCTTTTGCTCCCCCAGCATAATTATCTTAATTTTTGGTTTGCTCAGTATCTTATATATATTTTTACCAGTTATTCTCAAACTCCTTACCAGTTGTGAATCTCTTAATAGAGTGCAGATACTTTAGGTGTCCTCTCAGTTTCATCGTTGTGAAGAAGTCTCTTCCAGAGCATTAGACCTACTCTGATCTGAACTGGTTGTGCTGTTGGTCTGTGGACACATCTGGGATTTTTTTCACACTCTCCCCCATTTGTTAGAACCTCTGTTTCTTGGATCCTACTTTTATATTTTTCATGATAGCACGGAGGAGATAAAATTTGAGACTTTTGTATTCTGAAAAAATATTTTATTCTAATGCTTAGTTGATATCCAAGGTTTGGTTAGGTAGCAGTTTCATGGTTGGAAATACGGTTTTCAGGATTTTGTAGGTACTGATCCTTTGTCTTTTTTTCCTTCCTAGTGGAAATGTTGAAATGTGATGCTGTTCTGATTCTTTGTTCTTTGAATAAATCCTGTTTCTCCTCTCTCTGGAAGCTTTGGGTAACATTACTGTGCCCCTGAGTCCTTACATTTGATGTTGATGCATTTAAATGCGTATTTTCAATGTTGTGCTCAGCTTTGGGGAGCCCTGTCAGTCTGGAAACTGCCCTTTTGTTCTTGAAAATTTTCTCAAATTAATTATTTGGTTTTCTTCCTTCATTTTCTCTGTTTTCTTCGATCTTCCATTTTTCAGATATTGGACCTTTTGGACGGGTCCTCTTTTCATCTTTTGGTAAATTTTTTGCTCAGTTTTCAGGGAGATCTCTTCAGTATTCTTCCAAGTTGCATTTCTGTTTGCTTGATTGATCTGTTTAATGTTAGATGCTTTACCTAAAATATATGGTGGTTCTTTGCTACCTTCTATTTTAAGAGGAGGACACAAGAAGTGGATTGGAAGCTCTGAGCCTGACTAGGTTTTGTTAACAGAGGGGTTAACAGCCCCACTCATTTCCCCCAGGGTGGGGCAGTCACCAGGCCCTGCAGTGTTTAGATTATATTAGGGGATCTAAGGTCTAATGGTTGGGTAAGGCAAATGCATAACCTCTCCTATTTTTATTCATATCTTCACTTTCACTTGAAGGGTAACCTGATGTTGTTAATTCCTAAACATTTTGGAGATCCTCATTTTAATTTAGGTTATTTCTTTATGTTTCTCCACTGTTGGCCAAGGAGGATTCAGCTTGTTCAGGTTGGCTAAGTTATCACTTGTCTTCTTCACTTGTTTACTTTGTCCCTGTGAATTTGTAAATTAAAAAACATTTTTATTTTAGCTCATTTGAGCTGCTGTAACAAAAAATACCATCGATTGAATGGCTTACAAACAATAATAGAAGTACTTCTCACAGATCTGGAGGCTGGGAAGTCCAAAATGAAGGTGCCAGCAGATTTGATGTCTGGTGAGGGCTCAATTCCTGATTAATAATAGATGGCCTACTTCTCCCGGTGACTCCACATGGTGGCAGGGTTGAAGGAGCTCTCTGTCATATTCTTTATAGGACACTGATCCCATTCATGAGGGCTCCACCCTCACGACCTACTCACCTCCAAACACCCTATCTCTTAATACCGTCAATTGGGGCTTAGGTTTTCAACAACTTGTAAGGGGGAACACAAATATTCATTTAGCCAATGACACAATTTTAGGAGTGTTTGGGGAGAGAGCTGAGACCAATGATGCAGTTTTTAATTTGAAGTTGAAAGCATTGGATTTTCATAAATTTTTTTTTATCCTGCCTTTGTATTCTTAGTATGATATATGTGATTGTTTTGATATTTTTCCTTTTTTTTTATTTTTTAGAGAGGGAAAGGGAGAGAGATATGGTGGGATGGGCACATTGATTTCTTGTTTCATTTACTTATTCATTCATTGGTTGCTGCTTGTATGTGCCATGACTGGGGATCAAATTCCCAACCTTGGCCTATTGGCATGACCAACTGTGCTACCTGGCCAGAGGCCAGTTGAATAATTGATCAAGTTATAGTAATAGCTTTTACCTGAATGATAAAGAGCAAATTATAAATGGCTATTTCTGGCTGATGGTATTACTATTGGTTTTTAATTGCTTTTTTATACTTTAATTCTTTCTTTTTCACTTTAATTCCTAAATGTTCTTTTTTTAAAAAGATATATTTTATGGATTTTTTACAGAAAGGAAAGGAGAGGGATAGAGAGAACATCTACGAAAGAGAATCATCTATCAGCTGCCTCTTGCACACCTACTGGGGATGTGCCCGCAACTCAAGTACATGCCTGTGTCGAACCCGGGACCTAGGCCGACGCTCTATCCACTGAGCCAAACCGGTTTTGGCTAATTCCTAAATATTGTAATGTATATGAGTTACTTGGTAATTAGAAAAATATAATACCTAAACAGAAAAAAATTGTTAATAATTTCCTTGGATAAAAATCGGCTCTAGGTGTTCTTTCATTTTATCCTAAATCTTTCAGAGTTGTGCTATGTCCTCTGCCTTTTTTAGGTAAACATAAACTACAATAGAAACACTAATATTGAAGTTGGACGGGGAATTGTAATATTCATTCTGATCTATCCCCCAACTTAATTTACTTATTTTTTAAAATGGAACGCTTCACAAATTTGCATGTCATACTTGCAGAGCCATGCTAATCTTCTCTATACCATTCCAATTTTAGTATTTGTGCTGCTGAAGTGAGCACCCAGCTTTTTAAAAAATATATTGTTTTTATCGATTTCAGAGAGAAAAAGGGAGAGGGGGAGAGAGAGAAATATTTATCAGCTACTTCCTGTACAACCCTTACTGGAGTCAAGCCTGCAGCCAGCATATGTCCTGGCCGGAGAGCGAACAGATGACCTCCTGGTGCATGAGATGGCATTAACCAACTGAGCCACACTGGCTGGGATATTCCCCGATTTCTTATTTTCAAGAATCTCAAAACTATAAAAGAGTTGGAAGATTAGTACAATGACTACCTGTATAAGTGACATTTTGCCATATTTGCTTTATTTTTAAAGCACCTTTATTAAATTATAATTAACATCATAGATGAACTCATTTTAAATGGATAATTGAATGATTTTATTTATCTATCTATCTATTTATTTATTTACTTATTTATTTTAGTTTAGTTTATAGAACTGAATGACCCTCATTACACTCCATTTATATATTTTCATCACTCTAGTAAGATTTCTTCTGCCTGTTGATGGTTAATCCCCCATTCTCAACCTCAGGCAACCACTCATCTTTTTTTCTGTTTCTAAATAGTTGCCTTTTGTCTACTTTATATCAGCAGAGTCATATATGTGGACTTTTGTATCTGGCTTCCATCATTTAGTATAAACGGGTTGTTTGTACTTTTTGGCTATTATGAATAAAACTGCTGTGGCATTGTGTTGCAAGACTTAGTGTGCGTGTGTGTTTTAATTTCTTTTGGGTAGATACCTAGGAATGGGTTGCTATTTTGCATAGTAAAGTTTTGTATTCCCACCAATAATGTAGGAGAGAGCTCTCTATGGATTTACTATCCTCCCCCCCACCCCCAGCCATTTGAATTAAATTGCAAACATCAGGACATTCACCCCTTGGTCCTTAAGCAAAGGGCATCAGCCTACATCTGCGGTCGGCAAACTGCGGCTTGCGAGCCACATGTGGCTCTTTGTCCACTTGAGTGTGGCTCTTCCACAAAATACCATGGACGAGTCTGTTTTGAAGAAATGGCATTAGAAGTTTAAGTTTAAAAAATTTGGCTCTCAAAAGAAATGTCACTCATTGTACTGTTGATATTTGGCTCTGTTGACTAATGAGTTTGCTGACCACTGTCATAACTGCAGTATCATAACTGCAGGGATTTAGCATGTAAACAATAGGATTGTATATTATACAGTTCATATCTAGATTTTCTATTCCCAAAATGCCCTTTATAAGCCCCTCTCCCCCAGTTTAGCATCTTAAGCATTTAATATTACAGTGACATAAGGGAACTGTTCTAGATTCAAGACTACTAAAAAGACATGACAATTATGTCATTGACATTTTTTTGAATCCAGGCCACTTGTACTCTATAATAGAGTTTTCCATATTGTTGATTATTTTGTCACAATTAGATTCAGATTTAACTTTTGTCTTTTTGCTAGAAATAATACATAAATGATTCATTGTATCATATCAGGAGGTATGTGCTAAATTAGAGTATTTGGTTAAGATGATGGCCACCGGTTTTTCTCCTTTGTAATTAATAAGTAACTGTGAGAGATTGTGAGAATATCTTTTCCCCCCAGCAATATTTCTTCCATCTTTTAAAAATATCAATTTTTCATTCTTTTCTGAGTCATTTATTGCATAAGTGGTTGTAAAAAGGTAATTTCCTAATTCTATTGCTCCTTTATTTATTAGTTGGTGGTCTCCTGTAAAGATATTACTGATTTTTAAATTTTTTTTATTAATTTAAATATTATTTTTTGCTAATTTTTTAAAATGGAACTTATCAAGTTAGAGCCATGAAGGATTTTATGGTGAAAAAAGCAAACTTTAGGTTATTTTTTGGTATATTGTAACAGTGTAGACTTGTGTATTTGCATTACTCTTTAAAGAGAATGATCTCCTTGAATTTGTGAAGCTTGAAATACAGAAACTCCTTGGTTGAGTTTCCATTATTTGGGATGTTTGCTGCTTTTCTCTGAGAGATTACTCTTTTTCAGGAAGAATCTGAAAAGACTATGTGCAATTTTTTTCTCCTTAGTTTTTATTAGTTTTTCTTTGTAAAGCAAAATGGATAGTCCCCTTTTCCCCATGTTTCTTTGCATGGCTTTTTGATTGATTTTTTTTTATAGTAATTTATCTGGTGTTAATTATGCAGCGTCATGCAACGTAGCCTATTTTTAAGAATCCTTTTCTTCTGTAATGTATAAGAAATGTCATAATTGGATGAGGTGTTTAACCTGGCTTGTCATCTGAATAGCTCGTTGTCCAGAACATTAAAACATTAACAGAGTATGTGAGAATGTTTGCAAGTATCACATGACTTTTAGAGGAAATCTTCTATAAATGTTGTCTTTCTTGTTTTCTCAATGATTACTTCTACTAATGACAGCAGTCTCTGATGTATTTATACTGTAATTTTATTAGTTTATAAAGGAAAAACAGGCTCTAGCTGGTTTGATTCTGGTCAGTTGATATGATGTGTTGCTCTCTCTTTTAAAAAAAATCTTTATTCAGATCATTACAAGTATTCCTTTCCCCACCCCCCATAGCTTCCCTCCACCTGATTCCCCACCCCATCCCATTCCCCTATCCCCCACCACTCTCTTCATCGATAGGTGTAAGAATTTTGTCCAGTCTCTTCCCACACTCCTCAAATCCCCTTCGCCCTGAGAATTGTCAGTCCACTCCCTTTCTATGTCCCTGATTCCATTATATTCACCACTCCATTCTGTTCTTCAGACTTTTTATTCACTTGATTTTTAGATTCACTTGTTGGTAGGTGTGTATTTGTTGTCTTTTTGTTGTTTATAATTTTTATTTTTACCTTTTTTTCTTTTCTTCCTCTTCTTAAAGAATACCCTTCAGCATTTCATGTAATCCTGGTTTGGTGGTGATGAACTCCCCTAGTTTTTTCTTGTCTGTAAAGCTCTTTATCTGCCTTTCAACTCTGATAGCTTTGCTGGGTAGAGTAATCTTGGTTGTAGGTTCTTGGCTGTTAGAGTAATCTTGGCTGTTCATCACTTTGAATATGTCTTGCCACTCCCTTCTGGCCTGCAGTTTCTGTTGAGAAATCTGGGTGCTCCCTTGTAGGTAACTAACTGTTTTTCTCTTGCTGCTTGTAATATCCTCTTTTTGTCTTTTGCCCTTGGCATTTTTCTTATGATGTGTCTTGGTGTGGTCCTTGGGTTCCAATTGTTTGGGGTTCTGTGTACTTCCTGGACTTGTACGTCTATTTATTTCACCAGGTGGGAGAAGTTTTCTGTCATTATTTCTTCAAATAGGTTTTCAGTGTCTTGCCCTCTCTCTTCTGGCACCCTATCATTCTGATGTTGGAATGCTTGAAGTTGTCCCAGAGGCTCCCTACACCATCTTCAACTTTCTGGATTCTCTTCTCCTTGCTTCTCTGGAGGAGTGTTCTTTGCCTCTTTGTATTCCAAATCTTTGACTTGATTCTTGCAATCCTCTAGTCTGCTGTTGGATCTCTGTATATTTATTTCAGTCAGTGTATGCTTAATTTCTAGATGATCCTTTTTCATATCCTCGAGGCTCTTGCTGAATTTATTGGCTTTTTCTAGAAAATTCTTGAAAAACTTTATAACTGGTTTTGAACTTATTTATTTATTTATTTTTATTAAGTTATTATCTATATACATATTTTAACATTGCCCCCCCCGTCCCATACATGCCCTCCCTCCCCAGAGTTTTGTGTCCATTGGTTGTACTTATATGCATGTATACAAGTCCTTTGGTTGATCTATTATCTCCCCCAGATCTCCCTACCCTACCTGCTGTAATTTGACAGACTACTTGTTGCTTTACTGTCTCTATATCTTTTGGTTCATCAGTTTATAATGTTCTTTATTATTCATAAATGAGTGAGGTCATGTGGTGTTTCTCTTTCATTGACTGGCTTATTTCACTCAGCATGATGTTCTTCAATTCCATCCAGGTTGCTGCAAATGATGAGAATTCCTTCTTTTTTATGGCAGCATAGTATTCCATTGTGTAGATGTACCATAGTTTTTTGATCCAGTCATCTGCTGATGGACTCCTAGGCTGTTTTCAAATTCTAGCTATTGTAGATTGTGCTGCTATGAACATAGAGGTGCATATGTCCTTTTTGATTGGTGTTTCTAGTTTCTTGGGATATATTCCTAGAAGTGGGATTACTGGGTCAAATGGGAGTTCCATTTTTAGTTTTTTAAGGAAACTCCACACTGTTCTCCACAGTGGTTGCACCAGTCTGCATTCCCACCAGCAGTGCACGAGGGTTCCTTTTTCTCCACAACCTCGCCAACACTTGTCGTTTGTTGATTTGTTGATGTTGGCTATTCTGACAGGTGTGAGATGGTACCGCATTGTTGTTTTGATTTGCATCTCTTGGATAATTAGTGACTTTGAGCATGTTTTCATATGCCTTTTGGCCTTCCTTCTGTTTTCTTTTGAAAATATTCTATTTAGGTCCATTGCCCATTTTTTAATTGGATCATCCATCTTCCTTTTATTTAGTTGTATAAGCTGTTTGTAGATGTTGGAGATTAAACCTTTATCAGTTTGGTGTTTGGAGGTGACCAGATGAGGCCCAAATGTTATCAGTGGTAACATTTGCAAATATGTTCTCCCACACTGTGGGCTTTCTTGTTGTTTTGTTGATGATTTCTTTTGCTGTAAAAAAGCTTTTTATTTTGATGTAGTCCCATTTGTTTATTTTCTCTTTTAGCTTCCATTGCCCTAGGGGCAGTACCAGTGAAGAAGTTCTTTTGGCATATGTCTGAGATTTTGCTGCCTGTGGATGCTTCTAGTATTTTTATGGTTTCCCGTCTGATGTTTAAGTCCTGTATCCATTTTGAGTTTATTTTTGTGTATGGTGTAAGTTGGTGATCTAGTTTCATTCTTTTGCATGTATCTGTCCAATTTTCCCAACACCGTTTATTAAAGAGGCTGTCTTGACTCTATTGTATATTTGTGCCTCCTTTGTCAAATATTGTATTAATT